GGTTGATCTCCTAACGATGCCCTTTCTCTTTTAGACAAGGTGAAAAAACGCATTGTAAACATAGTTAGACCTGCTTTTGCAGCTAACCTCTAACCATTAACTCATCGTAGTAATGCTGCTTCTCTTTCTTTTTTCTACAAATACTATAATGGGTACTGCTCTGATGAGCTAGCGTCTCTTGTGCCATCTACTAAAATTTATTCTTGTGTTACTCGTCATCCAATTAAGTCTCATCTTTTTTCTGTTACTGTTCTAAGTGCTCCAAAAACTCTTATTCGTCTAGTTTTTTCCCTTGAAAGCAAAATGAAGGAATTTGTTTCCTTCATCTTTTTTTTTTTTTTATTTGCATTCACTCCCAACAAGGCTGCAAGCAACCACTATCAAGTTGGGAGTTACTAGGAAAAAAAAAGAACAGAGTTATAGAGCAAGGAAACGGTTGACAGAAGACTTGAAAAGTTGAAGGTTGTATGAGTCAGGAAAACATGAAGATGGGAGAGAGTTCCAAAGGATTGAAGTGCGGGGAAAAAAACTAGATGAATAAAAGTTTTTAGAGCATGCAGGGACAGATACAGTAAACGAATGAGACTTAGCTGAATGACGAGTAAAACGAGAATGAATTTTAGTTGATGGAACTAGAGATGATAACTCCTTTGAGCAGTGACCATGATAGTATCTGTAGAAAAGAGAAAGAGATGCAACTTTACGATGATGGGAAAGAGGTTCAAGCTTAGCAGATAGTCCAGGTCCAACAACATTTACAATGCGTTTTTGGACCTTGTCAAGAAGAGAAAGTGAATCGTTAGAAGAACCAGCCCAAATATGACAACAGTATTCCATACAGGGACGAATAAGAGATTTGTAGAGGTAGAGAATGGAGTCAGAAGTAAGAAAATGGCGAGCACGATAAAGAGAAGCAACCTTAGCAGAAGCTAATTTAGCAATCGATTGTATATATAGTTTCTATGAAAGGTCAGTAGTAAGCGATAATCCAAGAAGACGTAAGGAGGACGACTCAGTAAGAGGATTGCCATTCATTAATATAGGAATGTTGACCATATTACGGTAGTTGTTTGCAGTAAGCAACTGGGTTTTTTTAGAATTGAAATTCACAAGCCACTGTGAACCCCAATCTGTTACTGAAGTGAGATCGGATTCAAGATCAGCTGCTTGTTCTAGGCGATCGAAAAGAGAAGACTTTTTGTCAAGACAGGAGTATAAAGTTGAGTCATCAGCAAAAAGAGCTACTTTAGATGAAAAGTTGTCAGGAAGATCGTTTATGTAGATAAGAAACAAAACAGGGCCCAGGATGGAACCTTGGGGAACCCCAGAAGTTACTGGAAATAAAGAAGAGTGTTGGCCTTCAAGGATGACTTTAATAAACCGGTTAGAAAGAAATGATTTGATAATCTCAAAAACTTTCCCAGAAACACCATATGAAGCAAGCTTATGGAGAAGACCAGCATGCCAAACTTTGTCGAAAGTTTTAGATATGTCGAGAGCAATAGCCCTAGCCTCACCGCCTCCATCTAATGCACGATAAAATCTATCAGTTACAGCAGTTAGCAAGTTGGCCGTAGAGCGAGAGGATCAAAAACCGTATTGATTGTCTGACAGTAGTTTATTTGACTCAAGATGAGATGTGAGGAATTTGTTGATCAAAGACTCAAAGACCTTGCTAATAACAGAAAGAAGACTGATCGGACGATACTTGGAGGGGTCAGAATTTTCTCCAGAGTTTTTGAATATTGGAACCACAGATTCCATTTTCCAACAAGCAGGAAAAAAGACTCAGTCAAACACTTGTTAAATAGTTTAGAGAGAATTGAAGAAAGTTCTGGAGAACTTTCAATCGTTGTCTTTCAATCGTTATCTTGCTTTACAATGTTCATCTATTTTCTTCCAGTAACTTACAACTTATAATTGCTGCTTGTTCCCTTGTCGGAAGCAAAGATGTTAATTTATAGTTATTTAATATAAGCAAAGATTATAATTTTATAGTTTTAATTGTTTTTATATGGTTTGTAAAGATTTAAATTTAAGTTAAAATTCAAATTTTAAAATTGGTTTTAGAAAGTTTATTTTTTTCCTTCGAGGTTTTTTTTTCCATTTTGGATCTTGTTGTAAAAACAAATTCGACGCAGTTTTACCATTCTGTAAAATACTCAGTTATTTGTTGAGAATTTTTCTAACGAAAATCTTTAATATTTAAGGAGTTTGGGGCGTGTTGTTTTAAAGTCCACCAAAAAAAACATTTATGTATAAACATAATTTATGTAGTGGTTAAGTAATAAACTTCTCACAGTCGTGTCCATTACTATTGATTTTTCCAAGAGGATCAGCGCTAATGACAAGTTTATATTGTCATATAAATGTCATCCTTATGCATTAACTAGCAACTTATTACATACAGCATTAAAAAAGGACTATGTGATATAGCCAAAAACCAAACATGCCCAAGAAAAGCAACTATATTTTTTGATGAATATTAAAATAATATTAAAAGTGAAAATCTAAAGTATAATGTTATACATATATATAAACATAAAACATCAGGTTGACGAACTATGTATTAATTTATTCTGTTAAAAAATTATTTCATTTAATTATACAGAGATATTTTAACTCCTAATTATTGTAGTCATTTTTTAATGAGACAATAGAAGTTGTTGTACTGCAAAGATAAACTAATTTTCAGCTTGATTTTAAGTTTGTTGCATTATGCAGGTTTCTCAATTTTTCATAATTAGGTTGGTTGCTTTTCATATGCGCAAACACCATCTCTATTTATACCCAACACAAACACTATCTCTATTCATACCTGAATTTTGAGTGTTAAATCTTAAAGATTTCCAAATCTTTTATAAAAATTATTTTTTGATAATAGTGACCTTATATTATCTCAATTGATATTATTTTTGCAAGTCTTTACAATGTTCAGCCAATCATAAGTCTGTCCATTTTCCACTAAATATTGAATATTGTGCTGTTTCATTATGGTTTTTATTAAATTGCCTGTTTCACAATATATTTTGATCTGCATTTATATGGAACAAGATAAACAACAGAATTAATATTTTTTTGCAATTTGATAGGTTACAAGAGCAGAGAATTGACATCAGGTTATCTGTCAAAAGTCAGATAAGCTGCAAAAATTGCTTAGATTCCAAATTTTTCTAAGGTTTGTATTAATTTTATACTTAGTATTAGGATCCAGGGTAAAGTAACAAATTTGTTGTAATTGATGCCATTGTTTTTCAGTCTATTAGCATCTCTGAAAAAAGGTTTGAGTTATTTTATTTAACTTCTGTTTATTATCATTATTAATCAAATTTGATGTAAGAAACTTAGTTTCTTTGTGGAGAGCATATTCTTTGCATTCAAAAATCTTTGAATATACCATAAAACTAAACTAGGTGATAGAGATGAATGAGATATAGTTTTTACCCTTGTTATAGCCTTTTTTCTAAAAAGTTTAATTAGACATTTTCCATTTTAATTATTCATTAGTGTAATATCTAAAAAATGTAAATCTTTATTACAGTTTTCAGTTTGTATTGTGAACTTTAAGTTTGGATCAATCGAGTTTAAAAGAATTAAGAAATCTGATGCATCATTTATATTTTAAAATGTATGACAGCTATCAACATATTGTTGGCAGTCGTCAACATAACATTGGTAGGTACCAAGAGATAGGGGTTTATTTTCTATATGTTGCAAATAAGCTTCTTATACAACAACCATAAGGGATAATTCTATTGGACCAGAGTTATCTAGAGTTCTAATTTTGTTATTTCATAAATAATACATATATAAATAAAAATAATTAAATTTAATAACTTACCATACCACGGGTAGAAAATATTTAAACAAAAAATAATACAATAGAAACAACACAACTAAACTAAATCACTCAAGTATGCAAACAAAAAACACTTTTTTTTTAAAATTTTATTTAGGTGCCCCAAGAAGTCTTTACAGTCTTGTCACACAGCACCGTGGATGAGCATTTAATTAGAAGTTCATGCCTCCTAACCAATATAACTAAACTTGCCCAGAAATGGGGTTTGAACCACGGATCCTTTGATTTTGAGGCAAGTGCGCTATCACTGCGCCACAGCTGCCTTTTAATATTGTTACAATTAAAATTTTTAGATAATTAAAAACTAAAGTAGCACCTTTACTTTACCCAAGACAAGAAAACAATATGCCCAATCAAAAAAAAAAAAAAAATCAACAAAACACTAGTCTTCAATACACCCTTACAAAGATACTGTATTCAAATGATGCTAATCAATCAAACGTGTAAGAAAAAAAAAACACAAACAACCTAAAGTTTTCTTAAAAATTAAAAAAAGTGATTGTGAAAAAATAGTGTTCAGACATAACAACAAATATTACCACCAAAAATATTTTAAAAAATCTAAACATACAATAAAAGATATAAGAAGTAAACTTACTTGATCTTTAACTAAAGAGAAAAAATGTGTGCGTATTAAATTAAGAAAGAGCAGAGTTTTGAATGTGAAATAATAAAATCTTAAAACTCATTGATAGTAACAATAATATAAAAACCAGTGAATAAATAATCAATTTGAAAAAAAACAATTATAAGACTAGATAAATTTAAACCAAATGGGTGGCTAATAATAAATTTTTTTATGTAGTATGACGAAAACATGATATAAAAATAATGTAAAGAGCAGAAAAAAAAATTGTAAAAGTAAAATTTCAAGTTAAGTATTTGTTATGGTCTCAAAGTTATGTTAATTCAGACTCTATGGTCTGAATCAACATATTTTTGAGACCAAAACAAACGCATGATAAAAGCATACATTAAAAATCAGGTAGTCTAAATAAAAACAAAAGAACTGACTGCTGTGCCTTAATAACTTGTAAACATACTTTAGACATATATTAGAAATATCAACACAAATAACAATTTCATATTTTATTTCATAACTTAAAACGTAAAATTTAGACGACTAAAAAAAAAAACATACATCAGATTTCAAAACGTTACATTTGTTAGTGTAAATAAATTCCAATACAAGCATAAAAGCATCACTCTGAAGATCTGGAAATAAAAATGGCTCATCTGTTATAGGCATCTCTTTAAACATGTCAGCAAAAATTTGACATCTAAAAAAGAAAAAAACATTTTTGAAAATTGTATTTTTGACAAAAAAATTAAACAAATAAACCCTTTCCTTTTTCCTCAAGAAAATTTTTACCTTAAAGCCAAGATGCAACGATGAGCATGAAAGAGAACTTTTTCATTACCAATTGCAAACTTAACATCACTAATAAATAAAAAAAAGAACTTAATAAATATAAACTTAAGGTAATATGAAGAAAATAAACAATTTAAAATATAGAAAAAAAAACTTTCACCAATAAAAAGTAGGAAAAAATTAAGGGCATGAACTGCTCTTGTCCATAAAATCAACCCTCAAAAGGTTGATTTTACAGACAAGAACATCTCAATGACAGCTAAAAATGTTCTTAAATTTTTTAACGTTATTTAGATGTTTATTAATTACTGGACTTCTAAAACGCCAGCATTTTTAACATGAAAAACAGTTACAGATATTTATAAAATCTGTTATGTTTTTTGCATATTAAATATTTTTTACACCTCTAACATTTTTAAGTACTGACATGTAATTATATTAAAATATTTTTAAAATTTGTTATTTATAGTTTTATATGTATGATATACTTATAGGATATAAATAATAAATTTATGCTACTATGAATCCTACTGAATTACTAAACACACAAATTTAAACCACTTCCAGTCAGTTTGTGTTTTGAAATTTAGAGTTGAGAAATTAAAAGAAAAATACTTTATTATTGTGCTCCAGAGCATTGGGGGGGGGGGGGGGTGAAATTTATAAAAAGTAGTTTGTTTTCATATATAAACATTAAAAGAAAAAAGTGATTTGACTTTAATATAATCAATTTTCCTAAGATTTATTGCTTATTATTAGTTTTCATATAATCAACAAAGAAAAATTTGAACATTTTATTAAATCAAAACTCAATTTAACCAAAAATAATAATTAATGATTTAGGTCCAATAAAATTTACTTAAAGTAACAGTAATGCATCTTTTTATAATGGAAAATATTATGATAGAATGAAATAAAATAAAATTATATTTTTTAAATATAGCTTATTTTTATATTATTTTACATTATTTTTTTCTAATTAGTTTTGCAATGAACTAAACTAAGTTAAAACATCTGTTTATAGTATATAAACTTATCCTGATGAAATTCTTTATAATTTAATACAATATTTCTAGGAGTTATATATACATCCTCGTTATTCAAATAATATAAAAAACTGTTTAAAAATGTGTAAAATTCTGTAAATTATAAATTCCAATATTAAAGTGTTAGAGAAGTGTTCGTACCAAAAATTAGGTAGGAAATGTAGGTGAAACAAAACTCAAGGTTTCAACACGCATTTGTCAACATCAAAAACATACTTTTATAAATAGAAAAATTCAGCTATGGCATAGCATATTTTGAAATGAACAATTTCTCAATTTTTTAATTCCTCTAATAATTATACATTGGTGTAACCAAAGACAACAAAAGAAATCCATTCAGAAAATTAAAAGTAAAAAGTATAAACACAATTGAAATTTTTGATTGCTTGACATGTTTTTGGAAGATTTTTATTATTTGAAAAGTGTTTTTTTATTCTCTAATAAGAATTTAAGAATTGATCTTGCAAAATTCACAGAGGCCCAACCATGGTGAATTGTTCTGGACCAGGTTATTTAAATACTGATAATGATATTCAAATTATGATAATATGTATATTCAATTATGATAATACAATGTTTATAAAATATAAAACAAAAAAATATTAAAGTTTGAATAAAGTAACTTTAGGCATAATATTGAAGCAAATACTCAAAGCGTTGAGAAAAAAGTATTTTCATTTCTATGACACACTCCTGGTCCTGTTAAGAATTGACTTTTTTAAAAGCATTTTTATAAATAAGTTAATATAAGTTTTTATTTATAAATTTTTATGATTTAACAAGACTAAATCAACAAAATAAAAAGTTAATCTAAATCACTCCGAAAGTGTCACAGTTTTACAAAAGTGTTCTCCAGATCTCTCCTAATTTTTCTCTTAACTATTTAATGCGTGCTTTACTAAATCTTTTTTACTGCCTGCTGGAAAATGGCATCTGAGTTTCTAATTTTTAAAAAGTGCAGAGATTGCTCTGATTCCAATAACTACTACTTAATTCTTACTATTATTAGCTAACTCTTTTTATTATTATTATTTTTTTCTATTTCAGCTTAATTACATAGAATATATAAATAATATAACAAAACAATATATGAACAAATATGCAATATAAATATGCTAAAGTAAAAAAATATAGAAAAGGTTGGTGTGGAATAGGTTTACAGAGTCCAGTATTTTTAATGGTTTAATCAGCTAGTTTATATTAATGATTTTAATGATAATCTTATCTCTAAAGAGATTTAATTGATGGCATGTCATAATGATGTTATTTTGATTTTGTATTATTCAACATTTAAACACAAAATGCACAACTTAGTTAAGACATATGAGTCTTTATAGTGTGTTATTAGAATATTCTCATATTACACAAAATTGATGCTTTTAATAAAGCATTAGAAGTGCATATATTATTGCAAGTGTATATATCATATTACTACATAAGTAGCAATAAAATTTTAAATAATCCAAACAATTTCGAATTCTTCAGTTTTTGAGTTCTTATTAAACTTTTTTAAATAACAAATATAATAATAATTAAACAAAAAGTGAAAAACTATTGTTTAATGATAAATTTATACACTAAAGTAAATTCTTCTATTCATTTGCATACCTGTATAATTTATTGTTCAATAGAGATTTCATATCATTCAGTAATGAGCTTGCTTCCGCCTCTAATGTCAAATATTCATTAAATTGACTCATTTGTAATATGTGGTACTTTATAATTATATGCTACTTAAGAACTATGTTGTAAAATAATCTTGCTTAAAGAGAGGTTTGCAACTCTAACTCTATAGCCATGCCAGCAGGCAGAAATACAGCTCAATTAATAACCATAAACCATAGAGAAACAATTATTGAAACTTCAGAAAACAATAATCATTATTATTTGACATAATGCAGTTAGTTGTCGTGCCTAATGATGGCCACGGAAACCCCTGGGATGATTCCGGTAATACAACCAAGGATGTTTCGCCAGGAAAAAAAATTACTTCGGCCTGGGCTTGAGCCCCAAGATTATTTGCTCCGTTTTAGTGTGTCATATTGAAACTTCAGAAAACAATAATCATTATTATTTGACATAATGCAGTTAGTTGTCGTGCCTAATGATGGCCACGGAAACCCCTGGGATGATTCCGGTAATACAACCAAGGATGTTTCGCCAGGAAAAAAAGGTACTTCGGCCTGGGCTTGAGCCCCAAGATTATTTGCTCCGTTTTAGTGTGTCATATTGAGAGAAAAAAATTATTTTTGAACTTATCTTAAAGTTTATTTGCGTTTTATACTTCGTTAGCAGATAAACCATAGTATTTAAAGACCAAACCAGATTTTATTTCAAAACAATGCAGTAGCTAAATAATTCTTCTGTGCATATACGAAATTTTAGTCTTGTATAGTACAGATTTATAGACAATAATTTGACACCTTTAGTAGTAATTACTAAATTACATTTGAGTTATGCTAACGTCTGAAACGGTTGGAAGACGTTAATATAACTCCAAAGTCATATTAGGTCAATATTTTCGCTCAGCGCGTTTGATTTGTCATTTTTAAACTTTGCTGCATTATTAAATAAAACAAATAATAGAACAGAAAAAGACTCAAAACTTATATTAAAGGAGGAAAAAAATAGACTAGTAAATAAAGGCTTTTATCTATATTATAGAAGTCTAATTGTTTGAATTTTATATGGTTATATATAAGGGGATCAGTACAGTTTATCGATATTGATTAATTCCTTAAAAAGTTACGACAATTTAAGTACAGGTTTTCTGATATATGGATTTGTTGAAGAAACTGTGGTCAAAATAAAGTTTTTCTCGACTAAAGTTGTTATAACTTTGTCATTTCTTATCTTATCAATGTCATATCTTATCTTATCAAAACGCAAATAACTTGGTATCAATAGATATGTGTAAAAGTGAAATACAAGTTCAAAGTGAACTCTAACTATCGGGCGTAATTTGGGAATATAGTAGGTACAATGCTACCAACTTAACCGTAAGAAACTGGACATTATTTTCAGAAAAAAGTGTTTTTTAAAGAATTTAGTAACTTTAATATGCAAAAAGTAATTGTAATTTTATTGTAGCTTATTAGCTTATAGAGGTGTATGATAGGTTTGGAGGTGGGCATGGCTGTGATGGAGTGGTGATAGCTTAAAACACCCTACTATGAAAAGCTGTTTGTTCATATTTTTATCGAAAAAAATATGAACATAAGTAAAATTAGTATACAGTATAAAAATGTATATTACATTTATGTACGTGGCTTATTCCCTTTTCCCCTCTTCGTCTCTACTCCATCTAAAAAAATGTAAAACAGTTTTAAAAAATGTTTTGAAATAAACATTTTAACTAATTGCAGATGCGTTACAAAAATATTCTACAACTAGTACTTTATATATAAATCAACAGATGTAATACACGTGCTACTTTATATTAAATGTTTTTGTTTTTTGAGAGATAAATATCAAAAAGAGTTAACCAAATACAATTTAATATTTGGCAAAGTTTTATATTCTGCAAAGGAATTATGGGGTGCAAAAAATTGCCAACTGGGATGAAAAATATAAAAAAAAAAAAATTAAAGTCAGAAATTACAAAATATAAGGACAAAAAATAACTAGTTGTATAATCAATTTGAAAATTTCTATTTCTTTTAAACATAAGTTTTATTTAACGATTGAATAAATTCTTGTTATAATAAAATACTACTTGTGCTTATAAGTACTAAAAATATAACTAGAATTACAACTTTAAAATTATCATTATATATGAATGGCTAACTTGAAAAAGGGGACACGTCTTGCAAAAATTCACATAAGATGTCCCTTTTTTTAAGTTAGCGATTAATATATTATTATTGTTAGAGTTGTTATGTTATCCTCAATATGTTATGATAACAGAAACTTTGACAGAAATACATGCTCTCATTGATCATAAACTCTTTCATACTTCTTAAATTCAAGAAGTGAGCAAGAAACTATATTTAAATAAAGTTAGTAGATATAGGCATTTTTGTTAAATAGGGACGCAACAGGTCAGAACAGAAGCAATATAAGAAGAGGTTTATGAAGCAGAGTTTATCAATGAAAGTTTGTTTAATATTTTTATGGTGCAAATTTTCTGTGGCATAGAAGAAACTAAACCCATAATTTGGAAAAACCTTACCACATTATGTATTCGGTATTATCGACGCATCAAATTAGTTTTTGAAAAGGAATCTAAAGATTTTACAATTATAGAAGACAATAAATAAAGATAAAAAATTAAAATGCTTGTTTCAACCAAAGTATTTTATTTACAGTACTGAACAAATTATTAGAAATCAGAGATAAAAACGATGTTTTTTAGATTATTCAATCCTGAAAACCAAGTCTTAACCTGGTATCCGGTATGCATTCAGTTTTTTTTTTTAATTTTCTTTTGTTACCTAAAAGTTGATATTTTTGAGAAAATTTGCTTTTTCTAGACCATACGATGGGGAAAACGAATGATCTAAACCCCAGAAAAAAGGGACAAATTCATGTTTTACTGAAAAACAAAGAAATGAGCCAGAAGAAAGTAACAAAAAATTGAAGGAATCGACCTCACCTGTGTGCAGAATGAAGAAAAAACTTGATGAAGGCAAGGGCCTTGAGGCAAAGAGGATTGTAAAATGTGTCAGAATTCCTCACGGTCTCATCTCAAGGAAACCGAGGAAAAGCATTTAACTAAGAAGTTTACGCCTCCTTTCTTACCAATGTTGCTTATTGGGCTAGAGCCAGCCTTAAACCACGTACCTCTTGGTTCTGAGCCAGAACCACTTTGCCACGGCTGCAGATGCTGGGCTGTATGGTTTGCATTGTTTAATAACTCCCCAATAAAAGAATGGTATACTTTTTTTCCTTTTAATTGCCATACTTTCTTAATTAACTTCGTATTATTTCTATACCTAATTGGATTAAAAGATTTTATATGATTGTTTGGTTTAATGATGGGCTTTCTTAATTAACTTCGTATTATTTCTATACCTAATTGGATTAAAAGATTTTATATGGTTGTTTGGTTTAATGATGGGCTTTCTTAATTAACTTCGTATTATTTCTATACCTAATTGGATTAAAAGATTTTATATGGTTGTTTGGTTTAATGATGGGCTGATAAACAATGATATTAGACAGGCAATGGTTGTTCATTGGACATTAGGGTTTTTAATGTAGTAGCAGATTTTTCTATCAATTATTTGCCTCTTGATACAAAGTATTTTTTTGTGAGTTAATAATGGATTACTTATTCGGCATGCGAGATTAAATTATTTTGATTGTGTTTCTATTACTCATTTTATAAAGTATGTGTTTAACTGGAAAGTGTCAATGAGGTTCTAAAAACATCTACCTATTTGTCTAGACTAAAGAAATCTTTACGCATAAAGTACTTTTTCGAGTAGTTGGATACAACAGCATATATTGTATTTTGTATGCTTATACGACTTAAAGACGCGGCTGACAAGCCTACTTTCTAATTTTTTTTTTAAACTATTGATATATACCGAAATTGTTTTTAATACAGAATTCTGTATTAAAAACAATTTCGGTATATATCAATAGTTTAAAAAAAAAGATAAATTAGAAAGTAGGCTTGTCAGCCGCGTCTTTAAGTCGTATAAGCATACAAAATGCAATATATGCTGTTGTATCCAACTACTCGAAAAAGTACTTTATGCGTAAAGATTTCTTTAGTCTAGACAAATAGGTAGACGTTTTTAGTTTTCCGTTACTGCCTCGTAGACATTTTTCATAAAACGTTTTAAAAACGTTTAGCATGTTTGACATCAAATACGCATTTAAAGTTAGCACTCAATAACCAAGTAATTTGTTTTAAAAAACATCTTAAGCTACGCTAAATACATATCTCATATGCATTATATACGTATTTGTGCCGATTGGTTTAGTTATGTTTTTCTGATAATGGCTACTAGAGGCTGTCAAAATTCTCCTAATATGTTTTGGTTTGTGTTTGAATATTATGTTAACAAAAAGCAGATATTAAGTAAGATTTTAAAAGATAAAAAGGATAGCGTACGTAAAATATTTTCGAATGGCAATGGGTTATTAGGACAAACCATAGGCCTGTATGTAAAAAGTAGAACCTGTTATACTACTCTAGCATGGTGGTTACAAGGAAGAAAAAAAGCAAAGGCTTGAGCTGTTTCCAAAGTATGGTGAGAGCTGAAGAGCCATTACTTTTGTATGATTGATATTACAAGCTAACGAAAGCTTTATATGATAATGTGTGAAAAAGTGCTATATCATTTGTAATTATCCTCACAATATTAGAATAGATTGATGCAACACACTGACTAAGAAAAAATTTACGCATATATCAAAAAATTATTAGGTTAAGCAAAAACTATTGATGTTACTCAAGACGAATGTTATTTTTAAATTCATTGACAAAAAGTAAATTGAAAAATTGAAAACATTGAAAAATCTAAGTGGGCAAAATCTTTGTTACATTATGTTATAAACCACACTGTTTAACTACATTAAACGATATATATATATATATATATATATATATATACATATATATATATATATATATATATATATATATATATATATATATATATATATATATATATATATATATATATATATATATATATATATATATATATATATATATATATATATATATATATATATATATATATATATATATATGTATACGTATTAGTGCTTGCATATATCCTCGCGAGAGTGCTAGAGTGCTCGATGAATTAAAGTAAATTTAAATGATTTAAATTAAAACAGAGCTGTATTTATATATATTATTTATAAATAAAACTGCATATTTTTCACAACTATTAGTTTCATGCTAAATGCAATCATCAGGTGTAAATATGTTTTCTTTCTCTTTCCGAGAAAAATCACTTTGCAAAATTTTTTTTTATTAAACACTGTGTTAAATTAATCAGAAATGATTTCTGATGAATTGTTTAATATATATATATATATATATATATATATATATATATATATATATATATATATATATATATATATATATATATATATATATATATATATATATATATATATATATATATATATATATTTATGATAGCAACAGCGGAATTATCATTTTCCTCTCTGCAATGACTCAATCACAATTAAACAACATCATGGAAAAGTATATCCATAAAAATGTTTAAGATACTATCGCATACAAACTATTTTTTAAATGAATGTGTGCTGGCAAAAGATGACTAATCACATTAAAAAGTTGATTAATCACGATGCTTTTGATAAATAATTGAATAAATAGATCATTTTCATCTATTTTGCTGAATCATACAAAATTGAGGAACTTTTCCTTTTTAATATATGTTCTCAGCCTCCCCAACTTTCTCGACCTTCCTACGCCTCTATATATATATATATATATATATATATATATATATATATATATATATATATATATATATATATATATATATATATATTATATATATATATATATATATATATATATATATATATATATATATATATATATATATATATATATATATATATATATATATATACATATATTTGTACGCACTATTGTATACAAATTCAATGTACCATTTGACAGTAGTATTGTTGTAAGCTCTTATTTAAAAAAATGGATAAAAGTGCACTAGAAAGTATTTTATTGCTGAGAACATTTACTTTTGCATAAACTTTAACTAAATTTAAAATAAAATCTTTTTAATCATTTTTACAATGATAATTCAAAGATTGTTTCTACCGAAGCCTAAAATTTGAAATGAATTATTCAATAAACTTTTAAAGCCAGCCTATAAATAAAAATTATTTATTGAAAACATGTCACCTTTTTAAGTTCGCCTATAAATAAAAATTAATTATTGAAAAATGCCACATTTTGAAGCCGCCATGTAAATAGAAACAAATCATGAAAATTATCCTACCCTTTGAAACGACTTATTTTAAAAAAAAAATAAAGTATTGAAAATATACCACCCTTTAAAGCAATAAAAATGTAATAAAACTAACTTTAAATATGAAGATAATAAAATAGATTCTATAGAATTTGCTGGCAAAAAATATTTAGTTGCTTGTTTCTAATTTTAGGAAACCAAAAATGAAAAAAAAATAAAAATAAAAAAATTTAGAAACGTTGAATGCAAAGTTAAACTAAAAGAAAGTTAGAACGCTTTTACTGCCGTCAGAAACGCGCAACCCTTTAGATTATAAAGAATCAACCTTTAGATTTTAAAACATATTTTTTTGAAATGAAGATCTTCATATTATAAAAAAATATTCTACGAAACGATAGAAGATAGCTGATAGATTTTATGAAAAGATAGATAGTTGGAGAAACGATATATTTGCATTTGTTAGAAAATATATATTTCAAAACCCCTGAACAAAAATAGTTTATGAAACAATAAATTTGTAAAAACAAAATAATAACTGTATGCAAAGAGTTTCATACATTCAAATTTTAAATTAATTTGAATAGAAATGTGCACCAATTGAAAATTAAAAAATCTTATATAGAATACATATGCTTAAATTAATGATAAAAAAAGTCAAATCAATTAATTTTAAGTACCTAAATAAAATAAATAAAGTTATCGTCGCAGTATGAAAATGCTGCATGGTAATAGGAAGTTGATATTAATCTCATCAAAGGTAGTACGAAGATTTAAGAACTCAGCTTCAATTTTGTAAATTATTAATTTTATTATTTGCCTTTTGATTTTAATTTCACCTTTTTATTGTTTATTAATAAGTTATGATCGTTTGTAAGAAAATCTTTTATAACAATAATGAAATTAAGATGCTTCTAAATGAATCTTTGAACACAGATAAATCTTTTCTTAAGTAATTTATAATTTTTACTTACGTTCATTTGAGCTTTAAATTTCTTATATAAACAAAATCTACAAAGATTGAAAAATATTAAAAAAAAAATTTCTTAAAGTTTAGAAATTAATGAGTTCCAAGAAATAAAAAGAAATAGTAAGACACATTTGTCGAAATCTATTAAAAATGGCAAGATTATACGTTATGAAACGAAATATTGTTGACGAATTAGTTCAAACTCCTGATGACGAGCCGACTTCTCCAGTTACGTCTCCTGGAGCAATAAGCAATGAAGAAGATTCTTCAAAAAGCACTGATAAGAAAAATAACGGTTTTATTTTTGTTATAAAATGATTCCAATTTTTAAACATATTAAACTTTTTCATAAAAATTTAATTAATTAGGGTGTGTGGTGGCTAGTAGTTTAGAGTGACACTGCGTAGCAATCTTTACAATACATGACACTAGTGTCCTATAAATGCTTTTTGTTTCCTGAAATTTAGAAACAGACAATATTAAGGAAGAACGTTTCGATAATAGTTTGCTACAATCAATTATTTCGGAATTCCGTCACCACCCAGATTGCTTACTCTCAAACCAAAACTTGCAACTAATTTTAGAAGGTTTGGGTGAACCTACAGATTCAAATACAATACAAGAGTGGATCAGTTTTTATGACCAAAATAATAAAGGAGGGATTGATTTAGTTGGATTTTTAAGGATGGTGATGGATCAAATTCTTCCAATCGAAGATTCAGAGGTAGGCGTTTAAAAAAAAAACTTCTAAATGAGAAACATTTTTTTACGTTAAATTCTGCATTATCTTTTTCTAAATTCTGATGAATGCTGATTGAATATTGAAATATATATATATATATATATATATATATATATATATATATATATATATATATATATATATATATATATATATATATATATACACTTACTAAAGTGTGTTTTGATAAACATTTGCTCACTTTTTCTGCTTACCTTAAGCCATACTGTTTTTTTCGAAAAAGAAGAAGAAAAAACGAAGAATGATGAATAAAATGATTGCTTCCCCATCCCAAATCCTCAGTCGATGTAGCAGCACTCCACTGCGAGTCAGGCTATATATCAGTCGATGTATGTACTGAAGCCCCCAGCAGCAGGCTGTTTCAGTGTGACGTCAGATTGCTTAGCACGCAATACTATTTGTATATATATATATATATATATATATATATATATATATATATATATATATATATATATATATATATATATATATATATATATATATATATATATATATATATATATATATATATATATATATATATATATGCTTTTGTAAATTTATTTAAAATTTTTGCCCAATATTTTGCTTCATGAAAAGTGCTCTATAATGTTGGACCTTTGTATGCTATTCCGTAATTAGAACACTTGCTATTTATTATTGGAAATTTTTAAGTACTCCATTGATTGATTTTCAACGAGTTATTTGTGTTCACATTTTTATAAATTTATAATTAAAGCTTTATGGAAATATGCTGATATTGTATTAATACATAGAAATTATGTGCTGATAAATATTGATTTCGTATATATTCATCATTTGCATGTCGCTCATAAATGGTTTTGCATAATCATATTTGTTTTTCTTGTAAATAAGTCTACATGCACGTTTTTTAAAGAATACATTGTTTTATTTGAAATTAAATTGGTTTTATTAAAATAGTAAATGAAACGATCAAGGGCGGATCCAGACTATGACGTAGGGGGGGGGGATTTTGAATATTTTTGGATTTAAGGCAGGGTTGTCCAACGCGTGGCCCGCGGGCCACAAAGTGGCCCTCGTTGTCTATTGCCATGGCCCGCGTTTTCAATTCTTAACTTATCAAAAACCATTCAAAACTTTTAACAAAATCAAGTGAATATTATATTTTTAAAACTATTTTTTCTGTAGCTCAGAATTAGGGCAGTTTTTTAATATAATTTTAAAAATCAGATTTTTTTTAAAATTGCAACACGGTTAAAACTACCGCCTTATTTTTTTTATAAAACCGGTTAAAACGGTATTGACTATTTGGTTAGCGGAACCATAGTTATATTGATTTTTTTTTAAATATGGCTTCTGCTAGTGCTAATAAAAGACGTAGAGCTGAAACTGAAAGTGGAAGAGGAGGTCGTATATTTAACCCATCTTGGACAAATGAATATTTTGTAATGGAGCAAAATAATTCAATTATGTGTCTCATTTGTTTTGAAAAAATTGCCGTGTGCAAAATGTATAATGTTAATAGACACTATACTACAAAACATGCAGCAACTTATGATAAATTCAAGGGCCAATTTCGTGTTGATAAGGTAGAACTGCTAAAGAAAAATTTTATCGGGCAACAATCAATAATGAAAAGTAAAGTAATTAGCTCATACAGTGCTACCAAAATAAGTTTTTTAATTGCAGAAAGTATTGCAAAAAGTGGTCATCCTTTTTCTAGTGGAGATTTAATAAAAAACTCTATAAAACAATTTTGTAATGAGGTATGCCCTGAAAAAATACAATTTGCTGAAGATCTCAGTCTTTCACACCAGACAATTGCAAGAAGGGTTGAAGATCTATCAAAGAATATTGAATTAGCATTGAAAGAAAAACTATGTAAGTGTGAAGCATATAGTCTGGCACTTGATGAATCAACAGATAGAAGTGATACGGCTCAGTTAGCTATTTTTATTAGATTTATAACAAGTAATTTTGAAATAATTGAAGAACTGTTGGATTTCAGGCACATGAAAGGCACTACTAAAGGGGAAGATATTCTTTCTGAAGTCAAAAAAACAATGATAAAGTTTGATTTGCCAGAAACAAAACTCTCTGGTGTCACTACAGATGGAGCAAGTTCAATGAAAGGAAAAAATATTGGATTTGTGGCATTATTTAAGAAATCCATTAATCACAACATTCTTTCATATCACTGTATTATACATCAGGAACAGTTATGTGCAAAAGTATTAGAAATGAAAGAAGTCATGGAAATTGTTATCCAAACTGTTAATTTTATAAGAAGTCGTGGCCTTAATCACAGACAGTTCAAACAATTGCTTGAGGATTGTGGAAGTGAGGCAGAAAATGTAATTTATTTCTGCCAAGTTAGATGGCTTAGTCGAGCTGCAACTTTGAAAAGATTTTGGATATTAATACCTGAAATAATAAAGTTTCTAAAAATTAAAGATAAAGACACAAGCTTTCTTGAAAATAATGACTGGCTGAATGATTTGGCATTTTTAGTTGACATTACACAGATGTTAATGGAATTAAATATCAAGTTGCAGGGTAAAGATCAACTTATTAGTAAATTATATGAAAATGTAGAAACATTTGTTTTGAAATTGAAACTTCTCAAACAACAATTAAGTCAAAAATCACTTATCCATTTTAAAACATTGTCAGAAAGAAATACCAACACAGTTGACTATGAAAAATATTGTAATCTTATTTTAAAAGTAATTGATGAATTTGACACAAGATTTTGTGATTTTAAAGAAGAAAAGAATGAGTTAGACTTATTTTCACATCCATTTTCCATTAAAGTTGAGACAGTAAGAGATGAATTTCAAATGGAATTAATAGAACTACAAAACAATAAAGATTTGAAAGATGCTTACAAAGATGTTGAATTGTTAGAACTTTATAAAAAATACATGAACATTGAAGTTTATCCACATTTGTGCAAACACGCTATGAAATACTTTTCCCTTTTTGGAAGCACATACATCTGTGAACAATTTTTTTCAAGAATGAAACATGTTAAATCAGAGCAGAGACATAGGTTGAAAGATGAACACCTCACTGATACACTTCGGATTTCATCGTCCACTATAAAAGCTGACATTGATCAATTGTGTAAAAATAAACAATGCCAAGTTTCCCATTAAATACATTTTTTTTGACAATATTGAAATTGAATTAGTTGTTTTAAATTAGAAGTTTAAACAAAATGATTTTTCTTAATTTGTGGCCCTCGTGTTGTCATCAAAATAAAATAATGGCCCAGGCTGTAAAAAGGTTGGACAACCCTGATTTAAGGGATGCAAACGATCTAGTAAGTGGGGGTAATTTTTAGATTTAATGATTTGTAAGCAAACAAATTTGCACCACATAACTTTTTTAAAATTGTAATTTTATTTAAACAGCCTAACTATATTATTTCCATTTTCAAACAACATGGTGTGCTTAATATATAAACTTACAAAAAAAACAAATTTCAAAATTTTTTAAAGAGAAAGGGGGAGGGGGGCAATCGCCTTCTTCCCCCATGGATCCGCCCTAGGAAAGATCTACTCAACCAAAATACATCAGTTTTAAACTTAAAATGTTACATCAACTCAGTACATCAAATCAATTGTTTTACTAATTTTTGATTCAATACAGTTTATATGGGGAAACCATAATAAATGTTTATCTATAAGAATTCCTATGACTTTTATGATCTCATTTTTTGCAAATAATGTACTATTTAAAATTAATTTGGATAATTTTAAAGAAAAACTTTCATTTTGCGATTTTTTATGGAACAAAGTGTATTTTGTTTTATTGACATTGAGTGAGAAATTATTTGCCTTAAACCTAATTAATTGACTTTCTTTGCTTTAAAATTCAGATTAGAGTAAAGTTGCTTGAGGTCGCTGTTTGAAAAGACGAGATTTGTGTCATCAACAAACATTATTGAGTTTAGCGGATGCATTCTTAAATTCATTTATTTAAAATAAAAACAGCAGCGGATAAAGAATTGATTCTTGCGGAACTCTGCTCATAATTTCTAGTTTTCCGAATACTAAATTAATCACGTATTGAAATTCAAAGTATTATTTAAGAAATCATTCGTATTTTAACCATTCATTTCTAGGCATATTATTAATACATCTAATACAATCTTATAACTTTTAGGCATTGTCCATTTAGAAATATATTTCCCATATAAAATATTAAATGATGTCTTATATTAAATTTAGGAGGAAGTTGAAGATTCTTTCAAAGTATTTGATACAGAAAATTCCGGACAAATTAGCTGCAATGCTTTAGAATACGTTCTAAAAACCAGAGGAAATCCTTTAACAACAGAAGAATTTTCAATCCTTATAAATAAAAACAACCCTAAAAAAGAAAAGCTATTTAATTGGAAAGAATTTTGTCACAAGTTTACCAAAGAAGTTTATGATGCTAGTAATGACCCTCTATAACTGGATGACAAATGGTGATCCTGTACTAAATGTTTGAAGTTAAACTTGATTTATTTATTACAAAATATGCACACAAAAAAAAACAACTATAGTTTTACAATAATTAATAAACCAACACTTTTAATAAATTTATCAATAATAGTTTATTAATCTTTATTTAACAACTTGTTTGTTTTTAAAATGTATTTAGAGTTGTATTTAAAGTTGTAAATTAAAATTATTATGTATTTAAAAATGGAATTAAAATTGTAAATATGTAAGTTTTAAAAATTGTATTTAAATGTTTAAAAAAACAAGCACCTTATAAAAAAACATAAAAGTATTATTGATGTAAACTTAATATTTATTTTACCTGTGTCAATGTGATTTACTTTTTAAAAAAATGCGAAAATTAAATAACTTCGATAAAGCAATTTGTACAGCAATTTTTTTAGAAGATAGATTATTACATGATTATAGATTTTATACCCAGTGGGCACGCGTCTTCCGGAGGACGCCCGCTGGACTTCTCTTGGACGTCCAGACATCTGTAAGGCGTCCGACGGACGTCCCCCGAGCGACGCATGCCCACTGGGATATATTTTTTTCCAAGCAAGTGGCATAAACATACCCATAAAACGCCGTACTAATGTGATGAAGTTTGCACGGAAAAAATTAAATACCAACGCTAAAATAAAAAACATATATTCATGAACTAATTAAAACGTAAAGTGTGTTAAAAGGTAAAAAATACATTTGTTGAAACAAAATCTTTGCTGAACAAAATAGTGAAAACAAAACAAAAAATTTTTAAAATATAACAAGGCATCAAATAAAAGAGTTTTCATAACAATGCCAACGACTCGGGTTTTGAAATGGAGGGGCATTATTATCAATTTCTAAAAAAGTCCTCTATATCAAGAAATTCGTGGAAAAAAAAAAAGTCCTGTAGAAAAAAAGTGGGAGGGCCAGGGGGGCTCCTACTTTCGTTTATTATTATTATGATTATTATTACTACTATTACTATTATTGTTATTATTGTTATTATTATTATTATTATTATTATGATTATTATTATTATTATGATGATTATTATTATTATTATTATTATTATTATTATTAATGCATTTATTTTAAGCAACATTTATATATAAATAGGCACAAGGTTCATAGATAAATTAGATACAGTTAAACGAAAAATAGAAAAAAAAATATTATTTGGGTATATATAGTTGAAACATTTATTTAAGGTCTAATAAAATCAGCTGTGGTGTATTGATTTTAGTTCTGGCTTCAGAACTGGAGTTCAGTGGTTCAAAGTCGGCTCTGGCCATTTATGCATCATTAGTAATGAACTTTATGGAGCATCCAAATAACTAATAAAAAAATAATAGTCAAAAACATATTAAGCAACTTTAAACAAATTTTAATTAACGTTTTTCTCACTCTACTATTAACTCTTAGGTATTTGTAAGCAAATAATTATTTGTTAAAATGCTGAGATAGTACAAAGCAAAATCCCAAAAAAGCTTTCATCAAAGTTAAACGGAAAGTATATTCATAGAACAGCTTCAAAGCAAAAAATGCGTTGTCATTAATGGGTTATGATGGTCAATTTATTTATTTGAAGTACATCATTATAGAAGCTCAGATATAGATCTTGTAAGGGTAAAAAATATAAAGCAAGGAAGATAACAGAAACTTTATATTATTATTATAATAAAAAAAAAAAACTAATAACTTTATAAAAAAACTCTTTTTCTTTTTTTTTTTTACCATAATAATTCTTTATAATAAACTATAATGTACATAAAAGATTAATGGACGGACTTCTAGAAGATCATATAGTTCTAATCGCGAAGCTCTGTACGATTTATAGTTTCAACAATACTTAAATAATATAAATTTACAATTTCCGTAGTCAAGTTATATGGATTGCAGTACAGTTAATAAAATTAAAATAAATCTGAAAAATATATAATCGTTAGAAGTAAATAAAGATGTTTTCTAGAGAAAAAATAATTTCTTTTAATTTTTGTTTGAAATAATTATTAGTCAAGTTAATAGAAAAATTTATATTAGGTATAACTATTTTGTTCCATAGATATGGACCACGATAAGAAATACAAAATTAAGTATACTTATTCCGACCAAAAGAGGCACTTAATATCCCAAAAGACTATATAAAAATATAAAGTTAAAATAAAATACTCATACATGCTATAAATACACACACCAAAAGGTGTACGTAGATACACCTAGTATCTACTGAATACACATATGTGTATACATATTAATAGGTGTATATATATTAATAGGTATACATACACATATTAATAAGTGTATGTATAGTGGTTAACAATAATTTTTTTTTATTGCCTCTTCTGCCGTTGCATTTTCTGCTAATGCTCTTTTACTATTCCTTCCACCACCGGAGACTAAAATTTTAAAAAAAAGTAAGTTTTCACCTCTATTCTCAACGCATATATGAAAGGCTTATTTGATTTTGGCCCAATTTTTCTTTAGCGCCAAACCATAAGAAGACTCCTTGTAAAAAACAAAAATCTATTAAAATAATCAAGCAATAAAAATAAACAAAAAATTGAGACAAAAATTTACTATAAAAGTCATTAGAATTGAAGTTGGCGCTAGATGGTTGGGTCAAAGTTATCGATAAAGCTGGTAAATCTAAAAAATTTTGAGTAATTTCAGTCAAATCATAAAAACCTTGTATTAATGTGTTTATAAAAGTTTATAAAAAATAAAAAAGTAAACAAATAAATTACCACGACTAATTTTTTCCACTAAGAAAAAAATTTAATTGTATTAACAGTTTATCATTTTAATCAACATAATGAAATAATAAAAATTCTACTAAGAGATTTTTTCATTTAGTTTAAAACAATATTTATTATTTCAAATTATATTCATTTAGTGTAGAGTCATTTGAAAAAAATCAAGTTTGTAATTTAATCAAGATGTACCGAGTAGGATCCAAGATCCGGAACCGAATACCCGGGTACCCGTACCAACTATTTGAGATCCGGATCCGGTTTGAATATTCAGTTTCCGGTTTTTTATACACAAAATTACTTGATGTTAGTTACCATTATAGCCTACACATTCATCCAGTCGGAATCACGTGACTATATCGCGAAATCAAAAGTAACCATATTGAATTGGGGGAAAACAAACTATTCTTTCTTATACGCGAAGTCAAGAAAACGTTATTTAACAATATCTTTATGTCCTACAATAACTTTGAAAGCTAATCAAATAAAACAGCGGACAGATGTCTGAAAAATATAAGTCTTTTAAATGATTTTACTTTATTTTTACATACTTTTAAAGCTTTGTCAAAATAATTAATATATAAAAGATAATATAAAAATAATATAAAATAGATAATAAAAAATAGATAATAAAAAAAAATAATATAAAAATATAAAACAAAATACATTGCTGTCTACATATTACTTTGATTACTTTAGGGTATAAAAAGGACTGATATTTCATTTTAATTTAATATTTGTTTACAAATACTAAATTAAAAGAAACCCATCAGTAATAAAGTGTGCTGAACAGGCATAAACATTAAAAGATTTAGGGGACCATTGATTGCTAAATGCGTTACTATCTACAGCTAGATTTATTGTATTCAACCACTTTCTTCGAAGTACTTCATCTTTAGGAAGACTTAGATTCTAGATTTTTTTAAATATTGTTGTGAAACCTACTGCACAACAACTTTTTAGAGTTTTTTTTGAAAATTAACTCAACAAACCGTACTGATTTTTTAGTTTATTTTTGCCCAAATCAAGGTGGTTAGTTTAAAAACAGCATCTTTTAATATGGAATGATGTCATGCCGACTGGATAGATAGTTTGAAACTGTTGCTTTTTAAAAAAAAACAGTTTTAAAGTGATTTTTCAAGAATTTAAAAGCAACGCCCCTATTTGAGAGAATTTCCTAAAGTGTAAAGTAAATAAAACTGCTCAATGCAAAACCTGTAAATTCATTGTAACAATTAAAGGAAGATTCACAAGTGTTATCCGAAAGCATCTTTAGATTAAGCATAAAATAGAATCGCCATTATTACATCCTACTAAAATAGTTCAAAGTTAATCCCAAAAAGGTTTCAGAAATTTCGTACAAGCAAAAGATACTATTGCCAATATACTAACAGATCGTGTACGTGTGCGTATGTGTGTGTGCATGCGTGTATAATAAAAATAAAAGTAGAATAAAATAGAGAATTAAAAAAAATGATAATAATGAGAAGAAATAATTAATTTTTTTTTTTTTTTCTCTTTCTGTAAATAATAATTTGATTTTTAAGTTCTTTTCTTCTTAAAATCAGTTCTTGCTTTAGTTTCTTTTTTCCTTTTTCATTTTTATCGCCTGAATTTTTTAGTTATATTAACGGGGCTGGATGATAAGCTGCCAGCTCCGGTCGAAACTTTAATGTTATAATTTTTATGTTGTAAAAAAACATTGTAAAAGATTATTCATTTAATGACGAAATAAATAAAAAAAATAAAAAAATCTCATTGCAGTTGATGGACTTTCATTTAACACTGTTGCTAAAAGTAAGAGCTTGCAAGACTTTGCTTTAGCTAAAGGACGAAAAATATCTTTTAATTCAATTTCCATTAAAAATATTTTACTGGATCATGCATTAAGTCTCAATTAACAGTTGAATTAAAAAACTTAAAAACAATTTCAGATTAGGTTTGACTGTTGATGACATCAATTAAAACGTGTCGTTATATGAATATTAATGTGCGCACAAACGGAAACCTTTATAATCTTGGACTTGCACATATTTTTACGAGTATGCCATTTGTAAAAGCTGTTGAGATAGTAAGTGAAAATTTGAGTGAATTCAAACTGGAATTTAATAATGATATTGTTAGTACAACTACAGATAATGCATCAAATTTGTCCGTTTAATCAATCCACTTCATCAGATTTTCTATGCCCTATACAATCTGTTTAGCAGTAGGGGATGTACTTTATGACCAAAATGATAACTTTGAAATTATTATTAGTGAGGATGACAATGAGGATGATAGGGAAAAGCCAAATGAAGGTGAAGTGCCGGGCTACATTGCATTTGAAAATAGTTCAGTAGAGGCTGTTGTTATTTTTCAATTTTAAAAAAAGTTCCACATCATTTTTAAGAGGTGATGTTTAAAAAATCACCCCTTAAAAATGATGTTGCAAAAGCATATAAAATCAGAGTTTGGACATAAACTTAAATTTATTTTAGACTGCAAGACATGTTGAAACTCATTATTTGATATGGTTGAACACTTTGTCAAGTTAAGCAAATGTATTAAAATGGCACTAATCGACGTGAAGTCTCCAATAACAATATCAGATACAGAGCTGATAATTCTTTAAGATTTAGTTATAGCTTTAAAGCCAGTAAAATTAGGCGCCAAAACACTTTGCTTTGAGACTCAGATTTGGTTTAAGCATAATAAGTTTTTTGTTTTGTTTTAAGTCAACTTTTGCTTTTTTTTTTATAATTTTTTTCGTCACTGTATATTTTATATACAATTAACTTTAATTCATGTATACATTTATAAACTACAATCATATAAACCTGACGTAAGAAAAACTTATATGGTGCTTTAAAAACAAGAGATTTAAGCATAAGAAATCCTAATTTGATTTATCTCATGGAATATTTAAACAACCCTATTTTCTATTATCTGGTAATTTAGATGCTTTTGGAGTAAAGCCAAAAAAATCAGCAGTTATATCGCTTACTAAAAATCTTTTACTAATACTTTTACATTAAGCAATCAAAGAAGATTGTAATGAAAATACTAACGACGATTTTGAAATCGAACTTAAAGAAAATTTTGTTATGAAAACACAGAAAAGCTACATCAGTGCTAAAACAAGAATTAAATAATTAAGAACTCAGTATTTCTCAATAAAAATGTTACTTTTTAAAATGTTACTACAAAAATAATAAACGTGATAAAAATTAAAGCTAAAATAGGTTTCTTGATATGAAATGCTACAATGAATTTATTTCACAAAGTTAACTGTGGTTGTATATATTTTAAAAATAAAAATTTCTTGTGTAAAATAGTTTTTTTAATTGTTTTTAAGTTAAAATTGGATCCGGATTTGGATCCGGGTCTAAATCCTAATAACTCCTAAAGCAGTGGCGTAGAAAGGTTTTTGAATGTTTGAAATAACCAACTATTAAACAAAAAGAACATTCCAAATTTTTTTACGTTCATATGTATGACGAAAAGATTCTTCACAAAAAAAAATACTGTTATAGGAGATTGGGAACAAGAAACCCTAAAATCCTAGCCCCCCTGCCCCGAACGTGAGAGCAACAAGTTGATGAAATTTTTTTTTTGTACTATTTTTAACTAGACTTATATTCATTGAGAAATTTTAAATTTCATAGTAAAATATTTTATTGTTCAAAATGACCATATAAAGTTTAAACCCCCTCAATTTGAGGGGGTTGCAATTTTTATATGGTCATAATTTTTGAACGCTAAAATATTTTATTTACAATTTAAAATTTCTCGATTAATATAATTCTAGTTGAAAATAGTACAAAAAATTTTTCATCACCTTGTTCCTCTGACGTTTGGAGCAGGAGGGAGGGGGGACTAAGAATTTAGGGTTTCTTGTTCCCATTCTCCTATAACAGTAATTTTTTTTTGTGAAGAATTTTTTCTTCATACATATGAACGTAAAAAAATTTGGAAAGTTCTTTTTGTTTAAAAGTAGGTTATTTTAAACATTTAAAAACTTTCCTACGCCACTCGCGTAGGTAAGAGGTAGAGGTAGAGGTTTTTATATTAGCAAGAAATCAAATTTTGTTTCAGCAAATATTCACCCTGTCATTTATCTTAATATGCATTTGCTTTTCATTTACAGTGTCTCAAAAAATTATCCGACCAAACAAGTTTTTCCCAAAAAAAAATGTTTACGCTCTAAATTATACTAAAAACAATGAATAGAGATACTTAGTTAATTAAATTTATTTGGGAATAGTATGTTATCTAGCGTTCATATTTCTTGATTCATGCGTCAGTTGGTTTATTATTTGTCCTAAAAGAAACTTAGTACTGAATAGGATTGTAAAAAAATTATCCGACTAAGCGATATTTAGGTAAGTTTAATTAATTTTATGTGAAACATGTTGAAATATTTTAGCAAATATTTATACAAATAATGAAATTGCATTACACAAAACTTTTTTTTTTTTTTGTAGTAAAAAAAAAGTTTCATGTTTTTTTAAGTAAAATGGTTGGAGGTAAACGTCATTGGTCTATTTCTCAGAGAAATTTTTTTTTTTTTTTTTTTTTGATTATTTTTTATAATATTTGTGTAGTTTATACGACAATGTATAAATGAATAATATAATTGTGTTAACTGGTGTTTATTAAATATATTTCTTGCTTTATAGAGAATTCCAATGCATCTAGCAATTTAGCTATCGATCAAGTCAATCAGGGTAAAACCTATTGTCAGGTGCAGCAAGAGACTGCAATTCCTCATAATACAGTATCCGACATAATGAAGAAGTATAATTTGATCGGAACAACAGCCACAAAAGAAGGGAAGGATTGCAAAAAAAAAGACTTTTAAGAGTTTTGATAAAAACTTAATTATACAAGACAAGAAAAATCCATTCATTTCTGCTCAAAAACTGGCTGAGCAAGTTGAAGAGTATTATGGAATCAAATTATCCCATCAGACAATCAGAAATCATATCTGAGACCAGGGATTTCAAGGACGACTTGTGCGTAATAAACTATATTTTAGTAAGAAACACATGAAAAGAAGATTCGAGTTTGCTAAGAAGTTTAAAAACATGCCGTTAAGTTTCTGAAAAAAGATCCTGTAGAGCAACGAATCGAAATTCAACTTAAAGTCATCTGATGGAGCCCAAAAAGTTTGGAGAAAAGCCGGAGAAGCCTACAAATTAAGCTGCGTGAGAGGAACTATCAAATATGGTCGCGGTAACGTGATGGTATGGGGTTCAATGGCTTGGAAGGGTGTCGGAAAACTCCAATTTATTGATACTATAATGGATTAGGTACAATACAGAAACATATTAAAGCTAAATTTTAAGTCATTTGCTTGAAAACTTTGACTAGGATCTGGTTTTACATTTAAGCAAGATAATAATCCCAAGCATAATGCCACTAAAACCAAGGAGTGGTTTGCTGAAGTCTTGAAATGCTGAAGTCTTGGAATGGCCCCGATAATAATCGGACCTTAATCCCATTAAACATTTGTGGGAAATTTTAGACCGAAAAATTGAAAATCGGTCATTTTGCAAAAAAGATAACCTTAAAGTAGCAATTAAAGAAGCCTAGGAAAAGGCTTCTCAACTAGACTTATATTCATCGATAAATTTTAAGTTTTATAGTATTATCTCTCAGCATTCAAAAATTATGACCATATAAAATTTGCAACCCCCTTAAAGAGGGGGATTTAAATTTTATATGGTCATAATTTTTTAACGCTGAGAGATTACTTTGAAATTTAAAATTTGTATATGAATATAAGTCTAGTTGAGAATAGTACAAAATTTTCTCTTGCGTCTTCTATACGCTCTTTGTATGTTTTTTTTTATCTCTAAATCGTTTTTTTTTTTTTTTTTTTGACAATAAATGGTTAGATATGTGAAACAGTTGAAGGTCGAAGAGCGCATCTATTAACACCAAAAGCTAAATAGACATCTCATCACCTGAGACAAGGTATCTTAATCATATTTAATGATTGCCTGGAAGATTAAATTTAAAAATCCAAATAAAAAAATTCAATAAAAAAACACATTTTCTTTACAAAAATCTAGATTTTAAATATATACTGAATATATTAGTTTTAAACGCCCCTCTAACGCTCCGGATACATCTTTTTAAATACTTATTTTCCTTTTTAAGATTTTTGATACTATGTAGTATGAATTTTGATAAGAATTGATAAAGTTATGAGATTTAAAGTATAAAAAAAACTTTTTGCAGTTTCTTCAAAAAACCTAAAAAAATAAAACGCCATAACTTTTTGTAAAATTTTTCAATATTTATAACTTTTTATTTTAATTTGGTTTGGTCCGTTGAGGTCCGGTAACGCCCGATACGATATTTTCACGTACCGGAAACAATGTACATACAAAGATTATTTTAACACTTACATATAAAATAATGATACTTTTAATTAATGTGCACTTTAAATAACATAAAAATAATGAAATGAAAATTATATAGATTATAGTAATGGCAGTTTGTCGCACAATCAGAACAAAACTTGGTGTTTCAAAATTTTTATTGCAATCACAGGATGGCAACGAGCCCTGTACAGCATTTTTATATACTGATAATAGTATTGAAGTACATTCCTTGAAAAAAGATTTTGCTCCCTTATACTTAGAAGAAAATACAAAAGTTAATATCATTAATAAAGACGATATTGGAATGCTACTTGCTGCAAGCACCCTTGATAAAGCAACAGAAGAACTTTTTCTGCATTTTTGGGATTTAAACAGTTCATCATATTTTCAACCAAAGGAAATTCAAATAGAAAGTAGCAAAACAACAAAGTATTTATTATTGCATAGCTTGGAAGAAAAAATAGAAAATTACATATTTGTTTCATTTGAGAATTTCTTATGTATTATAGTAAACAGCAAGCATTTGTATCTATTAAGTATTGCAAAGTTTGATCCAAATTTGTTACAAATCAATTGTAAAAGTTTTTTAAATTTTTTATCTGCAATAACAAATGCTGTTTTTTTAACTCAAAATAAAGATATTTATTTATGTTTATCTGAAGGTGCAAATATTCATGTTTTTCTTGTTGAGACAGATCTAGTATCTATCAGTGTTACGCTTATTCCAATGAAACATTCCCATGGGATTTGTATTGTGGCATTACATAAGTTAACTTGTTCAAAGTGCTTAGTTATTGATAATATTGGACATTTGTATTTGTTTTGCTTACCTAATGAAGTTTACTCTCTAAAGTTTCCGTGCTCTATTGGGGGCCATAGCATATTTGCAACTGTAGCTTATGAACAATCTACTGATGGTATTCTTGCCCTATGCAGTGGCGAACACACTGTCAATTTGTACTCTCTTGCTGATTTGTTTGATAGTATTGAAAATGAAGTTTTAGGATATATTAAACCTTACCGTGTTTTGTGCAGTCAATTTCCAATAAATTCAATAACATTTATACAAAGTGACCAGATTGCAATGGCTTCTTCTGTTAATCAATCAATTTCATTTTGGGGTGGTTTTTTAAGCTAATATTTTTTTCAAAATAATAAATTATTATAAATATGTGTGTTGAATTCTAAGATATTGTTTATCTTTAACAGCTATTGTCGTTATAAAAAAATTTTTGTTTATGTAATCATCACTATTTAATCATCACTTGATAAAATTGATTAGTTTGGGTAGTTTTATTTAAAAATATTAAGAGTGCCTTAGATTTTAAAAATCAGTTTTAAGCGTGAATAAAAATTTGTATATATATATATATATATATATATATATATATATATATATATATATATATATATATATATATATATATATATATACAAATAGTATTGCGTACTAAGGTAAGCAATCTGACGTCATACTGAAATAGCCTGCTGCTATTTCTGGGCTTCAGTACATGCACCAACTGACAAATAGCCTGACTCGCAGTGGAGTGCTGCTACATCGACTGAGGGTTTGGGATGGGACAGCAATCGTTTTATTCATCGTTCTTCGTTTTTTTTTCTTCTTTTTTGAAAAAAACGGTACTGCTTAAGGTAAGCAGAAAAAGTGAGCAAATGCTTATAAAAACACGCTTTAGTAAGTGTATATATATATATATATATATATATATATATATATATATATATATATATATATATATATATATATATATATATATATATATATATATATAAATATATATATATATATATATATATATATATATATATATATATATATATATATATATATATATATATATATATATATATATCTTATACTGCTGAGTTAGGTATATAAACATACTTATTGTATACAGTTTATGCTCTTTATGACTCTTTGTGTTTAAGTTTAACAAAATTAAGTATACTTTATTTAAAAATATATATAGTAAAAACATATTAGGAGTGTAAATTAGAGTGCAGTGAATATTCATTTTTTTTAGAACTCATTAGCCTGGTTGTGTAAAAATTGTCCACTTCTTTCAGAAATACTCTGAAAAAATATCAATGCTCTAGGAAATTATCTAGAGTTTGTTTAAGAAAATATTAAAAAAAGCAACCTTTTTTTAACTAAAAATAAAGTGTATTTTTCCGATAATAATTAAAAAAAAAAATTGTTAATAATTTTTTATTAACAATTTTTATAATAAAAATTATTGTTATTTTTGAAATTTTTATATAATTTCGCTTCTTTTGGTACCAACAACATTTTTTTAATATTAGGGACCTATTAAATTTTCAGAGGTCTTGGGGCACCTCAAAAGAATTTCCTAGAACATTGATATTTTTCCAGAGTATTTTTGAAATGAATGTACAACTTTTGCACACCCAGGCTACATGAGTTCTAGAAAAAATTAAAATTCACCGCACCCTAGTGTACATACATCAACTGACTTTATTAGGGAGAACATGCAAGGGGAGTACATACATTGACTGACTTTATTAGGGAGATCATGCAAGGGGAGTACATACATTGACTGACTTTATTAAATATATATATATATATATATATATATATATATATATATATATATATATATATATATATATATATATATATATATAAATATATATATATATATATATATATATATATATATATATATATATATATATATATATATATATATATATATATATATATATATATATATATATATATATATATATATATATATATATATATATATATATATATATATATATATATATATATATATATATATAGATCTTTATTTATTTTTAAATAAAAAGAGTTTTTTTTAGTTAAAATTAAAAACTACTCAATAAAAAACAATCGTTTACATCTCTGCATACATTTCTGCTCTTTAAATGCAATACCTCTTCAAATTTTTTTTTTAAGAGTTTGAGGTTTTGGTGATGTCATGTATCTTAGTTGAGTTATTTTAAAATCAATTAATTGAAAATTAAAAGCTAGTAATTTAAAATTAAATATTAGCAAATAAAAACAACCGTTTACATTTCTGCGTATGAAATATAAAACTCTTTAAAATTTTTTTACTCCTCAGGTGTTTTTTGAGAACCAATTGAGAACCAAAAATTTGTAAATAAGAAAAGTAAGATTTTATTGAGAAGATTAAGTAAGATGAAATTGAGATTAAGATTAAGTAAGAGAATTGAGAATTTAAAAATTGTAAATAAGAAAAGTAAAATACAATTGAAAAGGTGAAAGTTGTAATTAAGAAACGTTATATGTAACTGAGAAGATGAATGTTGTAATTGAGAAAAGTAAGATGTAATTGAGAAAATGAAAGTTGTAAATAAGTAATCGTATAATGTAATTGAGAACATCGTTGTAATTAAGGAATGTATAAAGAATACAAAATTCTTTGTATTTTAAATTTTGTAGCCCTAATATACTTTATAATTTAAGACTGGGAATAATAATATAATATCAAAAAAATATAAAAAGTCATAAAAAAGGCATTTGAGGTTTAGGTGGTAACTGGAAAAACCCTATTTGGTGTCAACTAAAACTTTTTTTTATTTTTGTTTGTAAAAAAGTTAGTTGAGATTTCAGATGAATAAAAAATAAAACACAAATAGTTTATTTACATAAAAGTATAAATTTTACATAAAATTTAAACAACGTCACGAAAAATCATTGTAATATTCAGTTAAGAACCAACTTGGACGTCTCCCATATTTAAAATCGTTGCGTAATGCGTGGTCTTACGTTGTACAGCGCGTGTACAATCAGGGCCGTCCCGAGGGGATGCGTAGGGGGTGTCTAGCTCGCTACAGTTTTTTTCGGTGGGCAAATTGTCAAAATTGGATCTATAGTTGGCAGTCGTTGAATATCGGAAAACGATGACCTTTTTTTTTTTTTCATTTAGCGATCAAAAAAAATATTTTTTTGATCGCTAAATGAAAATAAGATCGCTTTGACGGCCCTGCGTACAATCACCACCCATTATTATATATTTTTTTTGACGCAGTAACAATTTTTTCTAATTACTGTATTTGTTGTTCCATAATTTCAGCACTGAATACAGATGGAATGCGAATCACATTTTTAACGTTAATTTTTATTTTGGACCAGATAGTTTCCACTGGGTTTAACATTGGACTGTATGGTCCTAATTGTAACAACTGAGCCGATGAATTTTTAAATACCCTTTCCAAACAAGTGTTACATGGAGCATTGTCTGTTACGACGACCAAAATCTCTAAACGATTCCCATTTTATTATTGCTCTTTTTTCCTGTTTAACACATCCTTGCGTTTTTCTACAAAAAAAGTTAAAATTTGTTTCATCCAACCAAACTACCTGATAGTTATTTGTGATGTGTTCGTTGATACTCCTAACATATTCTGCTCTTTTTTGTTTGTTCTCATTACTATTCATTGAAGTAGTCTCCTTGTACAATTTTTTAAATGAAAATAGTCTGCCTTCAAGGTAATTAGCAATACTGTTTGAGCTGATGCAAATATTAAATTATCTTAATATACTTGTTTTAATGGCCACCAATGTAAATTGACAGTCATTTTCGATCCATGTTAGTGTTTCTTCGATTTGACTGTCGGGTAATTTTTTGGTTTAATACCACCTCTTTTAATGAAATTTAAATATCCTCTGCGAACTCAATTGTATGCTGTTTTATATTTGACACTTAAAGTTTGAGCTAGATTCACCCAATCGTCATTTCGCTCAGCACATTCAATAACTCTTCTTCTACCATTCAATGATGATAAAACCTAATGTTTTCTTTCAACTTGTTCAGTTGCCTCTATCATGTCTACAGTTTGGTTCTGGTTGTTCCAGAAGTGGATGTAAACAAATTTGTTAAAATAAATGTTTGCACTGATTCAATTTAATAACAGATTAATTTTTGTTTATAGTGTATTGATAAATAACACAGCGATATTTCAATTTCATTACAGTATTACTGTATTGCTGGTGCATACAAGTGCTAAATTTGATATTATTAAAATTACTTATTAAAATGCATGTCCAAGAAAAAATCTTTTATAGTGACCTTAGAAACCATTGTAAATTCGCAATTACAAATAATGTATTCTCATTTACATATTACGATTTCTTAATTTCAGCTTTTGTTTTTCTAATTACATATTGCAATTTCTTATTTGGGTTTTTCAGTTGTATTTTAAAATTTTCTAATTACATGTTGTGTTTCCTAATTACATATTGCGACTTCTAAATTACATGTTGAGTTTCTCAATTACATAATACAATTTCTAAATTACAGGTTGTTCTAGATTACTTTTCTTAATTACAACTTTCAAGTTCTCAATAACATCTTAAATAGGTGTAGAGGTGTAGAGAGGTTTTGACTGAGCCGTGTTATGTACTTTAGTTGCATTATGAGCCTAATAAATACAAACTTTTGTTGTGATTAAACACAAACTTTTGTTGTGATTAAAATTTATATAGATCTTTATAAGAGTTTTTAGATAAAAAAAAAAAAGTTTTTAAAAATAAACTCTTTTTTTCTTTAAAAACTAGGCCTTAAAAAAACAACCGTTTACAATTTTGTTCTTTACACACCTTTATATATACTGTCAGGTGCTTAGTTCATCTATTTATTAAGATCCGTTTATTGGTTTGGACTAACGTTTTTGCCCCCCCCCTAACTTCTAATCCCACCCCTCCTTGTACTAAGCATGCAAAAGTAACATATACATATCCATGCAGAGAGGGAAGAGCAAAGTAGCAAACGTGCCCTGGGCACTAAGTCAATATTATTAAGAATATAAAGGACAAAAAAATCATTAGAAAAAAAGCTAGCAAATATTAAAAATTTAATTTTCTTTGCATTTTCGATTGGATATGCAGTGTTTTATAATGTCTATTATATTTATTATGTTATATAGTCCCGATAATAATATAAAGTAAAAATTTAACTATTAAAAAATAATAAACTTTTAACTTATAAGGCCAACTTTATGTAAAATTTAATTGGCTTTTTAACTTTAAATAAAATGTTACAATTTCATAAGGTATAAAATAAGCTTTCTTGGTAATGTGCATATATAAAATTTTGCTTTATTTATAACTGGTGACAACTCGAAACGAGATTAGATTTAAAGACACATAACTTCTATAAAGTACATCATATACCCAG